CAGCCCTCAGTATTGCTACTCCAGTTGGGTATATCCACCAAGCACTTAGGGACACCCATGACTCCCTAAGCACGGGGATTCTTCCTCTTAGCCAGAAGGCAAACTATGAAGGTAGCCACTGCAGGGAAACTGTGTCCTTTACTTGGCATTTTTATGAGTACTGTCATTCATCTTTCCTCGTGCACATTTTGGATCAAATCTAATTGCAGATTCCAATAGAAGTGGCACGATAGTTCATTAAATATCTGGTCCATGACTGATGGACAGGAGAATTCACAAAACAGGAAGTGTGAATTAGAAAATGACACAATGTATTTCTTTCCAGTTGCTTACATTCAATGAGGAGGGTAATGGGGTGGAGGAAAACAGAGAGGTGGGAGAAGGATATGATTAATTAGTACCCAGTGGTAAGTAATGCTACCCCCACCCCTTCAGAGCCAAGGAAACTGGAGGTATACAAGCCCAGGGTCAGTAAGGGAACTGGTGCTGTCAAGTGACAGAGTTACACACTAATCAAGTGTCTTTCCCCAAATTACATACTCACCCATTAGAGGTTTGTGACTCCTCAGCTCACACTCTGTGCATTACACAGCATCCTAGTGTGGATACTGCTCAAACACAACCTTTTAGGAGAAAAAGGGCATCCCAGCCATGCCCATCTTCTTATAGGTGGTGCTGGACATCTGCACTTTCATCGTTACCAGATGAGGAAGGTAGGGAGCAAAAAGGATAGAGCAGATGGCTTGCTAGTGTCCAAATAACAGTGGATAGCACTCTCTTTTCTTCACATCCCAAAGCTTCACTGTCTTGATTTTACTGCCACAAAGACTGAGGGGCAAGCCAGCTACATAAAAACCAAAGTCTACTCAGGAGCTGCTGGCCTTTAAAAAGAATATCTTACAGGCAGCTTAGGGAAGGCATGGACCACGTCCACCATGATCTTCAACAAGGCCATGAGATGACATTGGGGTTTGCACCCTCAGCTGCCCTTGCTCCTCCTGAACTTATCCCTATTTAGCACTTATTTGTTTTTCCCAACCAGAAACTTCTTTGCTTATTCCCAGTGGAGACTTGAGTGTAGGCACTAAAGGACTCACCACCCCCATTTCTTTTTTTTTTCCTTGCAATAATCCGGATTAGGCATGGGGAATCAGTCAGTGGTTTGCTTGGCATGGCACAGTTCAGACTCATTCTTCTGACCCAGGGATAGCAGAATACCCCACATGAAGGAGTAAGGATGGGAAGGAAGCTCCCACCAAGGCCCCATTCTTAGTATGAGCTTGGAAACTGTGTGCCCCAATGATTCTGTTATTTGATGACTGGGCCGGAAGTGGGAAGCAAGAAGAGGATGTTCCAGAGTGGGGTGGAACATTGGGATATGACAGGAACACAGGGGTTTCCAGTCTCACACTTTGAGTCAGAATCTCCTGGCTTGCTGAGAGAGCGGGACGGGGCACGGAGAGAGATTTTCTAGGTCTAGTCCCATATCTTCTTGGCGTCTGGAAATGAAGCCTAAATACGGCTCCATTTAATAAACTCCCCAGGAGATGCATAATGAGACCAGATTTCAACTAACACCTACTCCAAGCTGCTCCCAATTGCACCAGACCCCAGCACGAGAAACCTGGTAACTCTTATTTCAGTTGCCATTGGGATGGGTGCCTATAACCTCTAAGTCACAGTGTCCTCCTTCATAAAACAAAGACAATGAGATGAACATAAATACCATGGGATTGTTGTGAGGATACATGAGAAAATGTAGATGAAAGATTTTTGTGATTTTGAATTTTTTCTAAATGCCTTTCTGGTTGGGGAACAACACCATGTCTTCTGGTCTGATGTGGATGAAAATAGTGCTGAGAAATCAGAATATAAAGGAGATTCAAGTCACACCCTGGGCAGGAGAGTTAGGCTGTGATTGAAATTTTTAAGGAGCTAGCTTTGGGGGTGGCTTTTACTTCTTCCTCCAGCCCCTCCTGTTCCCTTGGGAAAAGACCTTTCATTTCATCTGCATATCTGTCCCCTTATCTACTCACAGAATGACTCTCCCAGCTTCTGAGAAAACTCCAAGCTCTCCCTGCAGAGATCCCACCCTGAAAAGTGGCATTCTGCCAACCAGGGAGAAGAGCAAATTTATTTCTTTTCATGCTTTAAGACATTATTGGCTGCATATTGTTTTAGTGCAGGGCATAATTACAGAAACTGCACTGAAAATCGGTATATTTTATCTGTGTTTTATTACACCCAGAATATTCCCCGATTCTTTTTCTTCTCCATGAACCAGTTTAAAATATATTTTGGCGTCCTTTATGTCATCTTGAAATTGAATAGCCAATTCTTACTGTAATGAAAATACTTATGCGCCAGCCTGGTGATATACAACGCTACACTCTAATTATGGCTGTGCTTTAATTAACCTGAATTGAAGAGTGTTATCATTAAACTGCTGGTAACTTTGAGTTATAGCTTTTCTTTAATTTAAAGTAGAAAACACAGATAATTAAGCCTCCAGATAATCAAATGCTTGAAGAGAGCTTCAATGTTTTGGGATGTTCCTAAATCTCATTAAATGTCCTTTCTTTATTGATTAGTTCCACCTCTGCCGTATCATTGCATTAAACGAATAATAGCGCCAAGTTGAGCACATTCTCACTCACATCCAAAGTTGGCTTTTTTTCTTTTTTCTTTTTCTTCCCGAAGCTTTACTGAACAAAGTACTACATTTTCTGACAACAATATAGGTCTGGGGGATTTTCTCCTTTGGGGGATATATTTTAAATATGAAAATCGATCAAGGAAAATACGGAAGCAGCCACTCTATCCACGAGTGCCTGGCTCTGGAGGTGACACTGAAGGGCAGTGAAGTCTCACAGTGCCCAGTGGGCCAGACAAGCCACAGGGCCAGGCCTGAGATTCTGACACAAATCTAGTGTAAGATGGCAAGTGGGAGCCACAAAGAATTGGTAGAAATGCAGGTCCTGTGTGTCCACATCACATTTCCAAGAGAGGCTAGGAATCTCATTTTTATGTGAATATCACTGTTTTGAAATAAATAGCCTTTAAAGAAATTAGAGACTGTAAGGTATCCATGTGAGTCCACGTAGGTGTCCCCACTGGAGCCTCTAGGGGGAGCAGTCCTCACCCTTTGGGTTAGTTCTACAATGGCCTGACTCAGTTTCCAGAGAAGAGTGACAAAGCAGGAAGAGCCAGGTAGCTTTTGGAGAAGTGCTCGTGTAAGACACAAACATTAGTCAAGCCAAGGAAACTCAATAACCAAAAGGGGGGCTTTACTCCACCCCTGCCAACACCCCAATACCATAAGACACACCCACCCTGGCCTCCAAACGCCCCACACTCCACGTGAGAGGCTTCAACTACCTACTTATGAAGCCAGCTTCTGCTCTAAGTGCTGACTTCTCCTGGGCTTTCTACCCCAGGCAGGTTGAGCACCAAGGAGAAGATCCCCTGGGTCAGCTGCAGAGTCCCAGGCTCCAGTGCCTCTGAGCAGTTAACTTCTTCTCATGGCAGAAAGAGAAATGGCCCTCAAAGAAAGGAGCACTGAAGTTACAACAGGGCATCCATTTTCAGAAAATAACTCCTTCCAAATCAATTACCTATTCACTTTTCCAGTCCATTTAGCATTTAAACTTTCGCTTAGAGACAGGGTGAGAAATTTCAGCAAACAGCCAAACCATTTCAGAGTGCTCAGGGCCTGGGCCCAGGGACTGGCAAAGTGCACCTGCTGTGTTCCCTTCCAGAGTCTCCAGGTAAACAGGAAGCCCCCCCGTGGACTTCACCCCCTCCCTGCCACACACAGAACAGAGTTGGATGATGCAGCTGAGCCCAGCAGCCGCACCTTCCTCTCCTTTATCGGAAAGGGTGTTTAGTTTTGTTTCTGTGCCTTCAGTCCTCCCTTGACAGAAGGTGTGTTTGATTTGTAAGTAGGCAGGGAGGAAAATAAAATGGCTTTTCTTTCTCAGCCCAGTGGAGTCTCACAGCCCCCTGATTATTCCCTGGTTTTATCAGTGAGACAGAGATTTATGGAACTGGGCTGAGGTGTCAAAGGATCAGGTGTGGTGGTCTATCACTCCCAAGGAGTTTGTGTTCTCATAGGAATGAAGTCGCCCTTTGACGTGAACCCAATACCTAAAATCGTAAGTGGGGAATCTGAGGGATCCTCACGCCTCATGGTGGATACCCGGAACCCCTGAGGTTGGGTCATCCTCCCATCCATGATCTCTTATTCTTCCTGGAGGGGCCATGACAGGCTGCCTATGCCCTGATCCTTCCTGCTGATCCAGGAAAAGGAGAAACCAAACCTTGTTCTCATTATAACAAGGCAGTCATCCATACGGGGCTAAATTGCTGAGGACTTTTTCAAGGCCTTCTGCTGTACATTTGGTTCCACATTTCCTCGGTAAATTGTAAAACTACTTAAATGGCTTTATTTCAGTAGCTTCTCCTGATGTTGCTATGATCTGATTTAATTAGAAGACAATTAAAACTCCTTTATCCAGGGACTGGCAAGATTTGTTTTTTCCCCTATTGAATCAGAAAGAGGCTGAGAGTGTAGCTCAGTGGTACAGCATACACTTAGGATGCAAAAGGTCCTGGATTCCCCTCTTTGTACCAAAATAATAAAATAAAATAAAAGTCAGATATAGATGGTTTTTTGCCCTCCTTCTTCATACACATGCCTACATTATAGGAGTGTAATTCAAGATACACAGGCCAACTGTAGTTCATAATGTAGTGTAAATGATGGATCCAAACTCAAGATTCTCAGGCCCCAAGGAAACCCAGAGGCCAATAGAAATCCCTAGGGCAGGGACTATGAAATTATCCACCTCCCTGTTCTTCATCACACAGAGATGGGTGCACAGGACACCCTCAGTGAAAGTCAAGGGTTCCAACCGTGCCAGCCAAAGGCAGGTGGCTTCCGATGAGGGGCAAAGTAACATCCCTGTAAGTCAAAGAGCATCCAGTTAACAGCCACTTACTCACAAACAGTAGGGAAGGACAGACCCACGAAGGCACTGGAGAGATATTCTGTGTACATTTCATTGGAGACTCCTTCCAGGTAGTATTTCTGCCATGTGTCTTCCTCAATCTAAGGGAAAAGAACACAGGAAGCAGGCTTAAAATACCGTCACCGTAGACTGTAAGAGGGAAACCAGAGTTACAGACTCTGGGTAGCAATTGAACGCACTGGCTAGACGATGATGACCTCACTGATAATCAGCAACCCTAATACCATGGAAGGCTCCCGCTGACCCTAAGCTCCCAGAGCCAAGGTACATCTTCTTTAGAGCAATATTCATTTTCAGTCGGTAGAGTTTCTAAAGGTCTGGAGATGTGGGCCCTCGTCCACAATAATGATGGACACGTCAACTAAAACAACTTCCCTGGAAAGCGGTTTGGCAATTGTTTTCAAAATTTGCTTTATACACAATTCCATTTTAAATACTCACAGCCAAGAAATGAGTATACTCTATATGTGCACAAAGACATGTATAAGAATATGCATATCTTGTTTATAACTCTTGAAAAATTAGAAATAACCACAGATGTTACACTTATGCAATGAAATACTGAGAATAGAAAATCATTATGAAAGTATATATCTATGTGATAATTATATATATATACATATATATATTACAAAATAATGTATACACCCCGATTCTATTTTTAAGAGGTCATTTGAATGTTTAAAAACTACAAAAAAAATCTAGAAAGCTTTATACCAAATACTAACCATTTAATTATCCCAGAATGGTAGGATATTTTTTTTTCTCGAGCTTTCTGTATGGTATGAAGGCTTTCACAATGAGTATGTATATATTACAATGAAATAGTACATTTCTACTTTGAAAAAATAAATTTTTATACCCTACCTGGAATATTACAACATGTAAAATTTGCCTGCAAAGAGATCTTGCCCTAAATTTCATTTTGGGGTGGAGTGAGGGATCTAGCTTCTCATTTCATTGAAAAGAAAATTTTGTGTTATTATCTGTTTGTTTCTTCTTTGTAAGAGAATTGTTTTTGTTGATATCTTGTACTCTGAATAACTACTTTGAAGATAACAATGCACAGTGTATTAACTATTGCTACTCTCTTATTTTGTTAAGAAGTTTTCTTTTATTTTTCATAAGATAAAAAGAAAAAAATATATATATTCTAACAAATCAGGTCCAACTGATTTTCCTAACAACCTGCTTCACGGTAGGCATTTTGGAAGGATTTTTCATTAAAATCAATCTTTAAAAACTATATATTGCCAGGCGTGGTGGCACAAACATGTAATTCGGCACTCTGGGAGGCAAGGGCAGGAGGATGCACATTCCAGCCCAGCCTAGGCAACTTAAGGAAATAGTGAGACCCTGTTTCAACATACCAAAAATAAAAGGCAGGTATGAGAGTAGAGAGTATAGCTCAGTGTAAAGGCTTTAGGTTCAATTCTCTGGATTCAATTCTCTTAGGTTCAATTCAGTGGCAGGGAATAAAATCTAGATAGTAGGTTATAGTAAGAATGATGAGCCACTCTGGGAGGTTGGGGATGTCACAGAACTCCCTGAAGGAAGAAGCTTCTTGTCCTCGGGCATCTTTGACTACACAGCCTCGCAGGTTTCATTAGCTGTAAAAGCCTGGCAAGAAAAAGATAAGCAGAGGCTGTCTAGCCAACAGGAAGTGACTCTGTGCAATTTCTTATTCTATTCCTGTGTCAAACACATCCTTCCAGTGGCTGATCGCATCTCAGATAAATGCAACATGTGGATGTGAAGGAGACATGGAAACCACAGAAAAAGGCAGAACCATCATTATTGGCACTCGCGTGTGCAAAAGCCAGGAAGAAAATAAATTTAGAAATACACTGCATGCTCCCTGCCTCCAGACTCTGTCTGCTCTGTGATCAGTCGGGGTGAGCTCATGCAGGTGGACCCCATTAGATGACACTGCTTCTAATCTACTCCCTTTATACAAATTTCAAAATAAAAAATAATTGGGGATATCATCATAATTCATCAACAAATATCACAATTTGCTTATTTGGTAAATAAGACATTATATGAAGTATTGCTAACTATAAATCCTCATAGTAGAACTTTATGGGAAAATACTGTTCCTAAAGTATGAGAATTCAACCTGTCCTTTTACCTAAGACATTTCATTTATGGTCATGTTCTGATTTAAATATTACAACTGATCTTCACAAATAATGAAAACATAAACCTTCATCTTTTTTTGTTTGTTTGTTTTGAGACTGTTCCAGGCTGGACGTGAACTCATGGGTTTTCTGCCCCAGCCTCCCAAGTACTGGAATTACAAGTGTGCACGCCATGCCCAGCTCCCTTCACCTTGTTCTTGATTATTAGTGATATTTTTCAACTAATACCGTTTTTAAATTATGGTCCATGTTTTCATGCCTCAGTGTCCTAATGGAGTTAATCTTTCAACCACATTTTAGTGTAGGTTAATCACTGATTTTTTTAAACAAGTAGAAACAAATTCTTTACAGGATAACAATATTATTCGAGTTCATTTTAAATTGATCAGGAATAGTTCCACTGATCCATTCATTCAACAAATATTTATTGACCACATTCTGTATTTAGGACTTGTCCTAGTTGAGGATTAAATCTTCTTTTAAACTGCTACTTATTTTCCTGTATTTTTCCCTTTGCTGGAACAAACAGTAGATATATCTATCTGACTAAGTACATCGGGCTTTCACTGATTTTTCCACATGTCTTTTTCTGCAACTTTGCCTGTGTAGCTAATCTGAAATGCCTGAAGACTGAAAGTCAAATAACTGGGAAAAAAATGTACAGAACATTCTGTAAAGCACAATGCCTCTTCCACCGCCATGTAAAGATGTTCCGATGGTATCTACAATGCTAGATCTAGCAACACTAAATCATCAGTACAAATGCCTGGGAGTTTAAATCCACAGTCATAACTCTCTGCTTAAGGTTTCCACATCTTTAATACTATTTTCACATCGATAGCCAACTTATTTTGGAGGTTTCTGCTGAAGGCATTCCACACAGACACACAAATTAGAAAACTACCAATTGAGTCATGCTAGCAACTTTTCAAAAGACAGGTACATGGTTGGCATGTCAAACAGACCTGCTATGGAAAACAGTGGTTCCTCAAAAAACTTAAAACAGAATTACCATATGATCAGTAATTGCACTGCTAGGTATATAACCAACAGAAATGGAAGCAGAGCCTCTAAGAGTTTATTCATAATGTGGTACGTATATACAGTAGAATACCATTCAGCCTTAAAAAGAAAGGGAAGTCTGACACGTGCTAAAACATGGATAAACCCTGAAAGCAACCTGCGAAGGGAAATAATGAAATCAGAAAATAATAAATATTTTACGATTCCACTTACTTGAGGTATCTAGCGTGGTCAAATTCAGAGAAGCAGAAAGTAGAAGAGTGGATGATGCAGGAGATCGGGGAGAGGGGAGGGGAAGTTACTGTCTAACTTATACAGATGTCAATTTTGGGGAAAAAAAGGACAGTGGTGGATAGAGGTGACAGACACACCATCATGTGGCTGCACTTGACACCACAGGACTGGACACTTAGAAATGGTTAGGTAATTAATTTGATGTTATGTGTATCTTATCACAATTAAAACTTTATTAAACCCATGGCATAGCATAGGAGCAGAAAAATGCTATTACAATCAATACAGAAATCACTTTAATCCTTAAAGGTAAGAACAACAGACGGTGCTAGAATACCTCTCTCCTCTGTCACTGCATTCCTAGAAGAGGGAAAATTTATGTAAAATATACTTCATTTTTATTTGTATATGCTTGTGATGCAGAATAATTCTGGGGAAGTAATACACATCATATATACATATATAATATAAGAGGGTGGAGGGAGTTACCATCATTATAATTCCCCTTTATAGACGATAAAACTGAGGCAAAGAGAGATTGAATAACCTGTTAAAGATCAAAACTCAATCAGGGATACAAAAAAGATCTAGAGTTCATGCTCTGAACAATCCACTACAACACCTCTTCCTGGACAGCACAGGACAGATGTGGAGGGAGGTTGCAGCAAGGGTAAGGAGGTTTTGGTGTGTGCAAGATCCTGTGGGCAGAGAGGCCAGGCCAGAAGCTCATCAAGGACTCAAAATCTTAAACTGCAAACCCCACTCCTGAGAGGACAGAAAGGACTACTACGCTCTGAGCTCAGGGGAGGGTGGTCCATACCTCCTCTCAACACATAAGGCATCATTTCTATCATATAAAATGGAACTATCCCAGCCTACAACCTCTTTCCAAAAATAGTACGTGCTGCTCCCCATGTATGCGTTGTCAATGTATTTTTTAACTGTAATGTGAAGACACACTTCCCAGCAGAACGAATGTAGGAATGGGACCAAAATGAGTTGGGGAAAGGTGCCAAAATTAATTTGCCAGCCATTCAGCAATCAAAGGCAAAGCATTTCCTGAGGCAGCAATTTATCCTCTGGCTGTCACATCAAACCCCAGCTGTTTGAGGAGAGCACCTAGCAAGGATGAGCAGGTGATGTGCTGTGGGCCCTTATTTGTCAGACACACAGAAACATCAGTGAGAAGGGGGAATTCAGCCACCGGGCTAACTTGTCTACACCTCTCTTGGTTTTATTTACCTACCTTTCATTATCTAATTTTTCAAGCAGTCTAGTTTAACCTCCCAAGCAAAATGGTTCACACCAATCCACGGGCAGACGGCTCCACCATTAAATGTCCCTTCCAACTGGAAATGGCAGTTGGCTCCATGGAAAGTCACACCTTCCTGATCCCAGAACTGCATACGTTACTGACAGTGCCTTGGTAATGACACCTTTCATTTTTTATGCTTCCTCTGATTAGAGCAAAAGTGTGTTTCCCTAATGGTAAAAGCCTAGTGAATGTGAAAAATTCAACTCTCCTGGCTGACATCTGTAATAGTGGCTATGATGTCTGTTTCCAGTAGAGTCTCAGTGACTGCTGATTATGGCCAATTTTTGCCAAGTCCATCCTTTCCTTGGGAGTCATACAACTACCTCAGAGATGATCACATATAAATCTTTAGTTAATTCAAAATAAG